ACTGTTTACATTCTACAAAGTGTGACTGTTTACATTCTACAAAGTGTGACTGTTTACAGCCTACAAATTGTAGCTGTTTACAGTCTACAAAGTGTGACTGTTTACAGTCTACAAAGTGTAGCTGTTTACAATCTACAAAGTGTAGCTGTTTACAATCTACAATTTGTAGCTGTTTACAATCTACAATGTGTAGCTGTTTACAGTCTACAAAGTGTAATCATTTACAGTCTACAAAGTGTGACTGTTTACATTCTACAAAGTGTGACTGTTTACAGTCTACAAAGTGTAATCATTTACAGTCTACAAAGTGTGACTGTTTACATTCTACAAAGTGTGACTGTTTACAATCTATAAAGTGTAGCCATTTACAGTCTACAAAGTGTAGTATGAATACAAGTGTGTTGTTTACAATATCCACATAAATCATTATAACATTGTGGTTTATCATCTGAATTTGAATTCAAACATGGCTATTCACAAACTTCCATATGAAAACAAATTTTTTTTTTTTAAATGACATTTTATTTTTAATAATAAATATTACTATGTTATTCGTTGGTTAACTATATAAAGCCTGTATTGTGGTTCATGTCTAACAGGTGACCTTACAAAGGCATATCTGACAAAATCAGAAGCAGGTAATATGAACATTTATTTTTCTGTACCCTACTTTGTTTTACTGCTGTTCATCTTAGTCATAGTTACTATCATAATACTGCCTATAATATACTATTAACAGTACTATACTATGTACTGCCCTCAAGTATTCAAAACAAACTGTTTGAAAAGATAGCACTGATGTGAATCTAATTTTACTTGTTTTGTAGGTTCTGAAGATAGGCGGCCATTAGACTGTCTTGAAATTAGTGGACAAAAGTATGCTGTTGTCGGGTATGTGTAATTTTGACCAGTGAAATCTCACAAGCTATTGTGGAAATACATGCCGTTGCTTTCATGCGAGTTGTAAATACAAACAAAATGTATATTTTTGGCTTTGCACTGAGACAACATTATCTTACCAAAGTCACTAAATGATCACCTGTGTACTCTGGCACAATTTCCTATACTTGAACAGTTACATAGCATGCATTCTCATCTGCCTCATACTTATATGTTGTATGCAAATTACCAGGAAAGTAATCAGCATATATATATATATATATATATATATATATATATATATATATATATATATATATGTATGTATGGATTATAATTTAAGTACCACAAGAGACTTAGACTTATTTTGACCCATCATAATACTGTACTATTCTCTCCTGCCACTGCATCCATTGTTCCTCTGACTTCTACGATAATGGTATTGGATCAGTATTCATGTTCTCTGTATATTTTTATTTACTATCATGCTGTTATGTTTTTCAGAACTGTTTTATTATTATTGAAAATGATAATTGAATACTGCCAGTGTTTAGACGACATGCCATCAGCTATACCAGATATTCTTACTAGACTGGTTGAAATATTACAAGTAAGGAAAATACAAAAATGTTAATATTCTTGATTTGATGCAATTAAATGGAGGGTATGGTTTGGCAAATAATAAATGAATAATGAAATTTGCAAGGGGAAATAAACTTGAGCCAAAATAATAAGAAATTATAGAAACGTACAGCAAAATGTAAAAAAACAAAAAAAAAGTTGTCATCATAAAAAAGTCAATGAGTCTATTATGTTGAGCATAGAATGTGAATTGATACTGTGGATTTTCATTTGTTTCAAATAATGATTTAATCTTAATTTGATATTCAGTTTAATTGATGTATTTTTTTCTTGACAGACTTTTAACTCTAGGACATGTCAGCTTGTACTTGGTGCTGGTGCTTTACAATTAGTAGGATTAAAAACTATCACAACCAAAAATTTAGGTTTGTACAAGACAAGGTCTCAATAGTTTTTATTTTTTTTTATTTCATATTGGTATTATTACATTTTTTAGGCTTGTTTATACATGATTAACAAATGGATAATTAATAACTAATAATACTAGTGTTAAGCAAGGTTTGTCTTTTTTACCACATATTTATTGATCTGTCTTTCTTTTTTCACAGCTTTAGCATCCCGATGTTTGCAACTTGTAGCTTACTACATTCCATTTGTCAAGTCACATTTTGAAAGCAGGCTTCAACCAAAGCAGCACAGTATGCTCAAACATTTTGACAAAATTCTGAAGGTGTGTTTTGTATAAACCAATCTTAATGCACACCATGTGCCACTCATGTAACTAAGAACACAAAATTAGAATGCACCAACTACGGTGTTTTTTATATCCAATATGTATGCATATATGACCATGTTTTATATCTTGCAATCATAATAAACAGCAGATACAATTACTTGAAGAATTGTCATGACTTGTCCAGGATAATGATTCTTGCAGTCAGTTGCAGTCTCAAAGCCCTCTGAGTCAGTTCTGATTAAGAACTTTATGCTTTATGTTTGCTTCTGTGATTATTGACAGGATTACAATGATCATGTTCAAGAAATATCCTGCAAATTAGTAGCTATTATGGACAGTGCCTTTGAAAAACAGTTATCCAAGGTATGTAATAATAATAATAGTGACTTTTTTAGGCCCAGTTCAGATGACTTCAAAAAATAGAGACTTATGGATTGACCTCTGTGCGTGTGTGCGTTCATGCGTGTGGGCATCCTGACCTATGTCTTAGACATGCCTGGACTGATTACAATCACACTTCACACATACATCATACCACAGTCCCTCAACAACCAGTTGTGAACCGCTAATACCTCTTTTGTCTAAATCTGCATTTGCATTCGTCAAATAAACAATTCGTTAATTGATGTGAATGCAAGCCTACTTTGTTTTTAACATAAAATTAGCATATAATATGACATCATTTTTAACAGAAGCCTTTTTGATTCACATCTACGTATGAATAAACACTTTGTTTTGATTTTTGCTACAACATGAGAGACAGTACTTTATTTATCGAAATGTGGAAAAATGCTCAGGATTTAGTCGATTTTGATGACAGTGATATTGATTGGTGTGATATATTGGAAGAGGAACCAGAGTATGTTACTGCTAAATGCATGAAAGAAGGCAAAGAAAACTTTAATTTGTAGACATTGACACAATCATCCATTCTGTCAGGGCTGCAAAAAGCCCATCGAACATAGTTTATGTGTTGCAAACACGATCTAAGTTTGATAAAAAAAAAAAAACTCAAAAATTAACATAACAGACATAAAAACAGTACTGGGCACTTTTTCATACTTCCACCTTAATAGTAATGTTAATAAAATAATAGTTCAAGGCAGAAAAGTGTGTTTGAGAGGGTTGTTACAATCAGATACTCTCACTATGACATCAACTAAGGTCGTTTGAATTGCCAACTTGATATCACATTTTGATTGCTCTTAATTCACAGTGATTTTCTGATGAGAATATCAGAATCCAACCACACCAAATGATTCACTTATTTCTAAGATATAAAGTGGGTGAAGTATCTAAGGGGGAAATACTTGTCTGAAATGAACCCTTTAATGCTGCTTCTACACAAAATAATACATATTGGGGAACAACTTAAATATCAAACTACAAAACATATGATGCCTGTGATTGTTATAAATATAGGAACACATTTTCACAGGGTGGAAACTATGTACAGCATCACTAAAAAACGTCACCCTGCAATGAACAGTGCTGGCTGTGTCAGTCTGAAATTGAAATCTTGATTTTTTATGTCAATTAAATGAATATATCTGTTATATATCTGACACATGCCTTGTCAGAAAGCCTTTATAAACAATTATATTATAGCATTGTCAATACCAGCGAATTTGATGACGTCATTGCCACAGATTATTTGCCATAATGTATTGCATTATTGCGCATCAAAGCCCCGTACCATGGATAGAAATCAAATGATGAGTTCGGAAAACAAATAAAGAGACAGGCATTTAATAATAAGGGAAATTATGGGGTGAAAACCATGAAAATGAATAACTGAGCGATATGAAAAATAATTATTTGCTCTTAGTTTACATGAAAAATGTCATTCCCTCCCGATCATCGCAAAATTAACATCATGTAGGATAGGGAGTTCCAAGTTTGTCTATTTTTTGTACACGTGTTATGTTGAAATGACCGGCTACGCCTTGCACTTTATGTCGTGCAAAGTGTGCTTTCATTCATTATGAGCCACCGGGGAGTACATTATTGTTTAAATATATAAACACAACTCAGAATAAGCTGTATAAATGGCAAAAGATTCACAGGCACAGAACGTAAAACAATTTAAATCTAGGCTGACCCCAAGCTGCTATGATGTCATCGGTTTACCAGTGATAGGGAATTAACAGTTTAGAATAAAGGCGTTTCCCAACTACTTGTTGAGAGACTGTGATCATACATAATATTATACATATGCACAGGACTTCAGGAATAACTGCACGTGAACTACGAGCAATAGAGTATTCATTCCATACTGTAAGCTCATCGCGGAGGTTAGCGAATACTTTGAGATTTGAAAGTTTATTTTGTGTGGCCCGATTTCTATTGCGGTAGTTGTTTTGAGTACGATTTCTGTTGTACGGTACTGTCTGTTGTTGATACCTTGTATTTTGGGTTTTTCTTCCACTTTTACTTTTACTGGGTTTGGTTCGTGTGACACTGTGTCAGACGCAATCACATGTGAATCAGATAAAGCATTTTCAATTTGTTCAGCTAAAGTTGTGGCTTTATGCAAGGTTAACGTGTCTGGCTCCATTAGTAACCCTTCTCTAGTACGGTGGAGTATGCGTTTTCTCAATCAGCTGATCTCTGATCAGTTCATCTGTGAGTGTACCAAAATTACATTTGGCAGCATGTTCGTTCAAAGTAGCAACATAACTCGATATTGACTCACCAGGATGCTGTCCGCGTGCCCCCCATTCGGGTTATGCACAGCGCCCTACATGTTCACCAGAGTGATGAAACAGGTAGTCGGTACACCTCAATCCGTACCTAAACTAATGCGGATCATCCAAATGATGACCTCGGTTCGTAGTGTGGTACCCCAGGCCGCACTACACAACCGCCCAGTATAGCGCTTGTTGTTACAACGCCGAGCTCTCCTATGAGAACTAGATAGGGTGGCTCCGTCTCCAGAACACTGAGTGGCTGATACCCCAGTGGGTAGCCTCCAGGCTGTTTTGACTGTGGGACGGCCCAAGGTTGGACCGGTTTGCCGCACCCCGGAACGCCAAGCTCCCGACGTACGTAACACTGCTGACTCCAGGAGCCTGGGCCATGGTCGCTTTTCTAACCCCATGGACCCACTTAGTTGTGTATGCCTTTCCTCCCTTCCCCCTAGTTCACTGGGCACCGGAGAAAACTTTGACAGGTGCACACCTGCATATTATAATTGGTCGCACCCAATTGGCCAAGCAAGGCCTAGTTTCCACTTCTGTCGGAAATGCTAGTCGAAACACCAGTAGTGCTTCCGAACTTAACGGACCTTCTGTCCCAACCGGACGGCGCACTACCAACGAGCCCAGCGGGTATCACTTACATGCATAGAGGCTCTCAGTAGACCCACTCATACGAAAGCTTTATCTGAGCGGGCTGCCAACATCCTGGCCAGGGCGAATAGGGATTCCACCAACGCGGTCTACATTTCTAGGCTGCGAGCATACACTGGTTAGTGTAGCGGAAGGGAGATTGATCGATACCATCCCTCTATTGGCTTGGTAGCAGGCTCCTTCGTCCACCTGTTTGACGAAGTGGGTTTGTCCTACGCAGCGATTGTTGGCTACAGGTCCCCAACCATTGAGAACGTGCGGGAACAAGACTAGCCAATTGTCCTATTATTAGGAGACTATTTACTGCTTTCCAGACGCCGAGACCCTATACAAGGGAACCGCCCAACTGGGACTTGTAGGTTGTGTTGTCCACTCTAAGCAGACCGCCCTTTGAGCCTCTCCAATCAGCACCACTCAAATTTTTTACATGGAAAATAGTCTTTCTACTGGCCCTCGTCTCAGGTAGGCATTAGCCAGAGCTGGGGGCATTGTCCTTCTCGGATGATGTACCGCCGTTATGGACAATCAAGTTGTGCTAAAGACACGAATCGGGTTTCTCGCCAAGTACCAAATCCCAGGACATGATCCTCGCCCGATCATCATCCCCTGGCTGTCAAATTTTGTCGGCCCGGAGGGTCAGGAGGAATTGCTTCTCTGCCCGGTTCGAGCACAGAGTTGCTACCAAACCATACTAAGGATTCAGGATGGAGTGCTAGGCACATGTCTTTGTGTTACGGCCCAGGCAGGCAGGATAGGCCGGCCTCCCCAACTTCCATAACCAGGTGGTTTACTGCGACTGTATTAGAGGTCTATAATACTTTAACTTCCTCAACACAGAGCTTGCAGAGACACAAAGTACTAGCGCATGAGATCTGTGCAATTGCTAATTCACTAGTGCTAGCGTCAGCCCCCTCCCCCCTCGTGCAAACACGGAGGGAAGGCTTCCGGGGAATGCAAAACGTCTTTATCAACTACCACCTAAGAGACACCGAATCCATTGAGGAGGGTCTCTTTAGGTTAGGTCCCGTCGTAGCAGGTCAGACTTGGTTTGCTGACCCTGCCGGAATGACCACAAGGGTACCTGCGCATAGGCAGTAAGTCAGTCTCGGCATTTTTTGCGGACAGACTTCTCTACCATCATCACTCCCTGGAAGCTCTCAGGTCCTGCTTTTCGGCCTATGCCCTCATGCAGAACTGTTTCGGTCTTTACTTCGAAAGCTTACTACCCCCAGAGTTGGGTTGGGGTCTAGCTTTCTCAGGCACACTGAACCCTGTCACCATAGCAGCATTTTGGCTTCTTGCTCTGGGGACAGCACAGGCAAGGTAAGACACCACCCTTTTTGGGTCTTAACTAATTTGTTGATTGATTATTGTAGAGTGTTTCATCCCGGACTGGGAAAAGACTTTCATAATTTTTCTGTTTGCTCTGGAAACCCGCCACCTATCGGCGTCTGACTGACCGTAGTCTATGGTGGGTAATTGAACGTAGTGAATTTAGGCAGAGGATTCTTCGAACCCGCCTATTCACATAGTTCATACCCACCATAGACTCCGGGTACCCCCCAACCACCCCAGGGAAAAGAATCTTGAGGTCATGGGGCTTCCCCTGACCTAGATTCTATCTCTCCATCATTGGCGGAATCGTTGATTAATGTCTACAGTTCAAAATAGTCATTTTGACTGGCCGGAGTCTATGGTGGGTATGAACTATGTGAATAAGTGGGTTCGGAGAACCCTCTGCCTAAATTTTATATATTCATTATACATAGATATACAGATCTGTTGGTTTGATCAATGGAAATTTTGTTTTTGTGTTATATCTCTCAATGTGGACAAGTACTCATTTTAATCATCATAATCAACCATCAGCCTCTGGATCCATATCTTTGACATGTTTTTACTATAAATATAAAACTATATTTTAAATTTGATAACTAACAGGGACTGTGCATGTTGGTCATGTAGAAACAGTGTACATGCCATACTTTACACTATTGTTCCAGTTGGAAATTGTCTTGTAATGTACACTCTGTGTTTCATTATAGATTAATATGGATAAACTATGATACATCAATCTCTTGTTACACTTGTATATACTGGTCTCATACTGTCTCATATTTCCAATTCATTTTAGTTCAGTTTTTGATGTAGCCCAAATATGATAATGCTTTTTTTCCTCCTTTCAGTGGGAAGTGAAAGCTCCGGTACCTTCTGCCTCATTCCGTGCAATCTGTAAACAAATTAATAAATTACATGAAGCTATTATTGATCTTTTACCACCGGAACAAATAAAGGTATTAAAGATTGTATTTATATTGTTGTATCAAAACCTGTTTTATTCATTGACTGTTAATTGGAATACTTTTGATTAATGAATACCATTAATTGGTGTTCCAAGCCTCTATATAATCTTTGTGCTGTACAAGCAAGGACAACATATTTTTATAGTAACAGTCTTTTGTAGTGAGCGTTTCTGAATTGACCAGACCAGACCAATAAGAAAGTAAACCCACCCTTGCTTGTATACATGGGTTTATCACATCCCACATGTTTTTTGACATAGTGTCATTTTATTCTGGTCAAACTAAGATTATTATTTCTTCAGAGATTTTCAGAAAACCACTCCATCTAATCCATTGTACCTTTCTTCATTTCTTATGCATCAATTTGTACATTGTGTTGATTTCAGGTTTTGTTTATGCGAATCAATGTTACATTCAAAGAACATTTACGTCAACAACTTAAAAAGTTATGTGTTACCAATGATGGTGGACCACAGCATGGGTGAGTGCATTTTATGCATTTGTAGTCTACAATGTGTCTATATTTGTACATCCTGTGACATTGCTTCACAATATCACATGACTGAACATTCCCGTTTATGCTCCTTTTGGTCCCAAATATACATAATGATTTGACATAAATCATTGTTACTCATATCAACATGTTTCAAATCTTTGTGTGATTTCTAAATACGTTCATATGTGAAAACCCTATTGATGGAAAAATTGCATTCCTAGCAAGTTAGACATATCTGAATTTGAACAACAATTGAGAAGTTTATCCCTAGAAAATGAGGCATAGGAATGCCTCATTGTTCCTTCCCAAGTGACATAAATATTACTGATATACCTGTTTTGTTTGATTTGTATGATTGAGTGAGTGAATAGTCATACAGCAATATGACAAACCATTCACTTACATGGTTTATGTTTCTCTGTAGCTTGGTCACATCTGACTTGGTATTTTACACTGAAAACATCAAGATGCTGAGTTGTCTGGAAGACTTAATAGACAATATGGATGATATATGGCAATATAGGTAACCAAACTGGTTTCCAAATTGCATTGACCTGAGTGTATTTACTTTCAAAACTATCTATTGTCAAGATGACAGCTCACAGCTGCTACCTAAAAACCTGATTCATACAGCTAAACTTAGAGGTGAAAATGCTTTGGAACCACTAATAAAAATCAAAAGAATGTTAAGTACAAGTATGTACTTATACATAATATATGTATGAACAATGAATGCTTATTTCTGGGACGATCAACAGGGCCATCACGATTAAGGTGCAGTGCATATTTCTAGCAGAATTCGGAATTCTCTACAAAGTGTTATATTATGGTGTACTTGAGGTTTATTTTAACAAATGACAATTTTTTCTATATATGTTGTCCAGAATATTCATGGCAATTTCTTGCCTTTCTTTGTTAACTGATTCACATGGAAGTTATTTTTGACTTGGAAATGATAGCCTGAATGATATATTTCTAGGTATGGTTTCATGACCAACAGATCAGCAGTGTGCACTGATTCTTACTGATAGATTGTCTAAAGTTACTAATGAAATTATCCTGTAGTAATTGCATAGTTCTCAATCGTAATTTGTTGATGTTTCCCTTACACTCTAAATTGAAGTCAGTAATTAATTACATCACATTCTCTATCCATTAACTGCCCAAATCCTCGTTATAAAAAAAGATTTGATTTTAAGAATAAATGAGGATGAATGATATTCTAGCATGCAGAATATAACATATCCAGCTGCAAAAGTAAACGTCAAACACTCTCTAAAATGTGGGATTCATCCTCTCTCACTATTGCATGTGGTTCTAACATGTATCTTACATATTTTGGCAATATAAGAATAAGAACAGCACTACTTTTTCCACTCATAGTAATATTTCATTCACTCTTCTGATTTAAATGGCAACTTATCAACTGAAATATTTCTAGAGGTATGAAGAAATAAAGTATTTACACTAATATCTGAATGTTCCCTGTAACATATTGTTCTGTCTGATTGTGGTTTTATCAAGATGCTTTCTAAACTTGTTTTAATCGATTTTATAAGTCATATAAATTATTGATATTTAAAAGTGCATGTTGATAGTTTACTATGATCTTATTTATTCTTATATGATGAGATTTGACTAGAGTGAACTCTGTTTTTTTTTATAAAGACATTCTCCATGTAATTGTTAGTTGGCTTTATACAATTTACCATTGCAATTAGTCACCTACAATGCAGTAATATTACACCGTCTGTGAAATGTATGTGAAGGCTGTTTTTCTTGACAATTAAGTTCTTTTAGATAAATGCTGCATCCAAACTTAGAGATACTATTACATCAGTGATGTGCCACTAGAGGGCACTATTTATTGGAAAGGTGCATCCTGCCTTTCTCTGCAGAAGAAGCTTGTACTCTCTCTTTTGGTTTTGTTTATTCATTATTTAATGAAACCAATTATTGTAAGGATGACTGTAAAGTTTATACTTGGTGTGTAAAGTATTTCTATGTCCATTTACATTGCTTTATCTTTACTCTTGTACAGATTGTTATACTAAATTTTTAGATTACATCTCATTATCTTTATGTATACCCTCTTCTTATCTACATACTCGTCCATTTTGCAGCTGATATCTAAGTTTTGCGTAAAATCATTAGTCTAGCTATAGCTGCATGTGACCATGCTTGGTTAAATCTCATGACGGTACCTGTAAGCCACATCGTTGACTGAATGGTGTTAAGCCAAAGAGATACTGTGAATCGTTAAATTTCAGGATTTATGAGAGCTCAAGAGAAACGCAATTTTGCTGAACTTGCTGTGACTTTATTTTAAAGAAATATTCACTGCTACAAAATTGTGAAATTTTCCCTGAATCATGAAATTTCTTGAAATGTGTTTTGAGGAATTATAATGGTTCACAGTAAGTTGAATTATATGAAATACTGGTGCTTTGCATGTCTTGTAAATATATTTTGTATAGCTTTTAATGTAAGGTGCATTGTGCAATGAATGTGACTTTCTTAGATTATTATTGTGAAAAATAAAATAGTACATGTAAATAAAGATGGATTACTTCTAATGTATTACAAATATAGGATTGAGTAACTGTGACACAAGTACATGTATGTAAAGTACACATCCATCAATATATAGATTCACTTGGCACATTAAAGGGAAGCAGTGGTCTGGCTTTTGTCACTCATACATGAAATGAAATGAGATCTATGAATGAATTCTGTCGATAAAAACAAGTTGTATGTGCTGCAAAATGCCCTAAATATCAGGTATAAAACGGGATGTGAAGTAGATGACAAACGTTTGCTTAGTTTTACTTGCTCAATTGCTTTGATTTTCAATTTGTAGGTGTCTTTGTTTATTTCGTGGTGATATTTCAAATTCTCTATTTTTGTCAATTTTTTTAGCTTCGCTGTCAACTTTGTCGAGTGGAGCTTATCATATGAGTGATTGTTCGCCGTCGTCCGCCGTCCGTGTCAATGTTTTACTTTTTCGACTTCTTCTTGAAAACTACAAGCCTGAATGCTTTGATACTTGTGTATATGTACCTTGGGTAGACCTCTCTCAGATTTGTTCATTTCATGTTCATTTCATGTTGATATCTTCAATTCTCTAATTTTGGTGAATATTTTTGTCATTTTTGGTAAAAAGTGATATTTTCGACTTCTTGTTAAAAACCGCAAGTGCAATTGCTTTGATATTACATATATAGGTACTACATGTGGACCTCTCTCAGATTTGTTCATTTTGTAATGATATCTTTAATTCTCTAGTTTTGGTTAATATTTTTGTCATTTTTGGTAAAAAGTGATATTTTCGACTTCTTGTTAAAAACCAATAGTTCAATTGCTTTGATATTACATATATAGATACTACATGTAGACCTTTCTCAGATTTGTTCATTTTGTGATGATA